GGGGGGGGGGTTGGCTCGGCGACTGACGAACATTTTCCGATTGGTGACATCAATTTGAATAGTTCAACCATGTGGCTGCAGCTCTATCAGCACCAAGAAAGACAACGTGCAGGAGGCCAGCAGGAGCCATTAGAGAAACAGCGGGGGGATGAGGATGAGATAAGAAACACACACACACATTCCCTCACCTGTGCATCCAGACAGTCATTACAGCCCACAGAGAGAAGTGGTAAGAACAGGGCAGGAAATGAAAGACAAAAGAGACGAAAATTTTGAGAAAATCAGAGGACGATTGTGTATGTATCAGCCATTATATATGTAAGCTACTATTCCAAACAAAGCTAAGACCCACAAGAGAGACAGATTTAGAGCCTTCATATTAACAAATTATCTCATAGATGTATTTACTTTATTTATATTTATATATATTAGAGAGAGAGAGAGAGAAAGAGAGAGAGAGAGAGAGTAGCATAAAACAGTCCGTGGATGTAGTTAGAAACTATGTGCGGCATCTCTGAAGTACATTACTGCTCGGCATGACCTACTTTAACAATTTCAGGATCAATAAACTAATAAGGTTGAGTTCAGAAACACATAAGAAAGAAATGCCTCAAGACAGTTTTCTGCCTTGTATCGCTGGTAATATTAGAAGTTAATTTGTCCATTTTTCCTGCAAAAATTCTTAGTATACTGTTCTGTAATAATACATTATTAGTTAGTATTATTAATTAAAGGACAAGCTGCTGTCTTGTGGTTAGAGTATGGGATTCAAAGTAAACCAGATCATACCACTGCCTACTGGAAAGAGAGAGCGAGAGAGAGAAAAAGTGTACTATATGAGTAACAGCATGGTGGCTATCATTCTATAGCGCATCACCCGTTTACAGAATGAGATGTGTGAGGGGCTCATCTTGAGGGTTACACAAAAAGGAAGGGGATTTGGTGTACCTGTGCAACCTGTTGAATTAAGGAAGTGTTTCACTTAATAATAACAAAAAAGGGCATAAAATGACAAAAATCCACCACAGTATGCAGGAATAGCTGTGTACGTGGAGAGTGTTATTGGTTACCTGCTGATGGGTGAGCTGTGCTCAGTGAGCGACACCAGCAGTTTGAGAGCATACAGGATCTGGCTCCAGAAGCAGAGTCTCATACCTGTAGAGAAAATCTGCATTAAACAAAAGCTATACAAAATGTCTACAGTAGGATACAAGTAAATTCATGACAACAGTCATTAAAGAGGTTATCAACCATTGTAACTTTTATACGTTGTGGATGCATTCTCTAGGAACTGAATCAGTCCCCTTAGGAACTCAATGTGGCTTTTCATAAAAATGGCGTTGATATTTGTGTCATTTCTTGTTGTTGCTGTGCAAACTCACATAAAACTCACATAACAAAAATAAACTGTCATTGTGTATTATAAATGTTAAATATTTTTATTTAATTAATGTTTTGACAATTTAACAACTACAGTATATTTTAGTTGTTCATTCGAAATATTAATTGCATAGCCCGAAAAATTCAGTTATACAATTATTTAAATACTCTTACGAAAGTAAATACTCTTTAGCCTATAAACTTTAATTTCGTCAAACGAGAAAGAATCGCTCACGTAGCCGCATCTATCTTGTCTGGATTGGCAAACAGGTTGAAAAGACAAAGATATTTGTTGTTATAATGAATGGATGATTTGGAAAGATCACTTGCCTCTCTTTTTTTCTGGAAAAAAATTGCAGAAATAAGACAAAAATGCCACAAATAATGCAGGGATTAGTTGAATTTGCATTAATTAAACCCTGGAAGGACTATCTGAAACCATGAGCTATAGGAACACTACACCTTTAAGACTTATATTTGAATATTATCTCAATTATGATTGGTTAATCTTTTTAAAAGTGAAATGAGTAAAAACTGATTAATGCTGATTTTGGATTTCTGCATCATTATTCAGAATCAGTTTTCATTCGAACCAAATTATTATTAGCATTATCCAGAATAGAATCCACTTTAGAAAAGTAAGTAAATTATGGTTGTTTTCTACCCTAAAATGGTATTCTAACACATGCCTGTGCCATTTGAATTTGGAATTAGCTATGAATTGTTCCAATTTAATCAAACTGGATGAAATTAGAAAGCTAGCCAAATCTGTTTACTCTAGAAATTTCAATGACTTTATAAAACTGCAATCATTTCACTTTTACTGGTATATCATAATTTAAAATTTCCCTGCTACATGAAGATTTTTCCATGAACATGCATCAACAAGCTACAGAATCCTTCACTTTCTAGTTCTTCATCCAAGTTTTTATCCTAACCACTTGCAACCGTGACACAATGAGTGACAAGACATTTTGTCAATGACTTGGTTTCTATTTGTGTCACACTCAATAAATATCACTGGTCCAAAACCATGCTGTACATTAAGCATGAAATATCTCTTGACCCTTGACAGCTATTGTGTGCATTCAGTGTGCACAGACAAATTGCTTGTTGCTGGAAGCTTCACATCACATCATGCCTGGTTAGGACACAATCTTAGTTTTAATAAATAGAGAGGATGGAGGAGTAAACTGAGAGAGCAGAATATAGGTAATTGAGTGGTGAGTCTTACTGTGGCAGCAGGGCCTCAGAGATGAGCGTCAGCAAGCGTGTGTTGGAGGAGATGTCTTCACCTTCCCACTCTGCCTCTCGTTCTCTCCCTCCCTCCGTCTCTCTCTCTCTCCTCCACCTCGTCTTGGCTCAGCAGCAGCAGCGTGATCTCTGACAGCACACGCAAACTCACATTACGCCATTCCACTGGGACACACACAGCAGAAGGGTTAGATATATACTTACATGCATAGATGCACAAGGGTTTTATACATAGATGCGCAAATGCACAAATATATATATATATAACTTAAATCTGACAATGCATCTGTAATATGGTTTGTTAGAGTTCGGCTAATGCATGTTTCTGTTGATGAATACAAATTCTGGCTCCCCAATACATTACAACAAGAGCGATGAGAGAAAAAAAAAACAATACTTGGATAAACTCACTCTTTGTTCAATGCGAGTGCTGTATTCTGGAATAACTGTCATTTATGCCGTCATCACGTGTTGATAGCACAGATGAGACCAGAACAGCACATGTTGCTATCTGTGTTTAAACTAAACTCATGTAAGCCTGGCCAGTTTAAATATTAAAGAGCCAGAAGACCCAAACTCGCGCACTCAGTGAGAAGATCTGTGTGTGCGCTCATCCGAAGCGCGTGAACCCGCGTCTCAGAGCGCATGCAAATATTAAGCTCTCTTTTTGAAGTATTGTGCTTAAATGGACAAATTCACTCAAAAATGATGTCAAAATGCCCGTCTTGGTGAGTATCCTATCAGACATAGTCGGCTGAACGTACAGTATCAGTGCACTGAATCAGTGCGTTCTCTTAAAGTGACTTTCTTAATGTTAATCAAACAGCAACAATACGGAAATCACTCACTGCTCTTGATTGAATAACTTTTGTAACTTTAATAAGGATTAATCTTTAATTTATACAGTCAAATATGCAGTTATTTTACATTTGATTACTTTATTCAATTTCTGTACCTAAAAACTAATGTTAGACATACCTAAAAAACCTGAAAAGCACTGTTTATTTTATTTGTATCTTTACTCTATTGTATTATTTGTGCTGTTGCTTGTAGTTAGATAGATTATTCTTATTTTCTTTATTTTTATTTGACAGTATAGTTTTTCCCTAAACATAGCACATACCGAACCGTACTGAAACAGTGACTCTAAAACCATGATACAAACCGAACCGTGAGTAAGTTGAACCGTTGCACCCCTAATATGTATATATACATCTATGTGTGTATATATTTATATACACACATAGATGCACAAATATAAATGTAAATCAACATACTCATAGCTCTTATTTAAAGATAAAAGGTGTTTATGTTTCTCATGATCTTAAACAACCTTTTGTTCTAACAGTTTACGCTTTAATGCTTGAAATATATAGGCAAATGCAAAAATATGCCTATCAATATATTTATTTACATAAATAAATAAGCAAACAATTATTGTGTTATTATTACTAACTTTTGGAAAACATTCAAAGAAAAGAAAAGAAAGGAAAAGAATAATAATAATAATAATAAGAAGAAATGGGTTCTATGAGCGTCTCAGTCCACAGGACCCAAGAAACATCCAATTTGTTTGCTTCCATTTGTGCCATTTCATAGTTTGATGACTTTACTATTATTCAAAAATGTAGACAATAGTAATAAAAAAGAATGAATAATGTGTCAAACCTTGACTGGTAGTGTATAATTGTGTTTGCTTATTTGCAGCTGAAGTGTGTTCTCACCGTTCTTACTGAAAGCCAGAGACGCCAGCGGTGGTACAATCAAATCCACAACCTTGGGGAAACAAAGAGAGAAGTCTGCATTACTCTACAAGTGAGAAATCTCACCTATATTTGCTTAGTCTCACCAGACCACACACACGGCGTGAGTGAAAGTGAAACAGCTGGAAGCAGAAGACTGGGAGAGTGCCCTGAACAGCTCCAATTTGCATGGAAATGTGATGTCAGCTCTGCCCTTTGATCACAGAAAGTGTGTTCCAACAAAAGGCCTTACCCCAGCTCTTTTGAAAATTAGAATCAGGTTTTACGATTATTACCAACTACATTCAGCCACACAGCAGCAAATGTTGCGCATAGGTGTCTTAATGTGGATGGCTGTGGGCATCTCTCAAACAAAGGATTTTCACTCTCTCTGACTCGAAGTGAAAAGAACACCAAAGAAACATATTGTAAAGGTTATGAATTTTTCTCTTCTTCTGTCTCTATTGTAAGACACCAAGTTTTTTTCACTGAGCTGCAAGTATTGTACAGCTACTATGCTAAACCTGTGGCACATCTTTGATCTCTTGCCCACACCTTATGAGACGTTTGTCGTGAATGTCAGTATAATGGTAATTCTTTCTCTGTAGCTTAGTTGAGGTATGTTTGAACACTTAGAATCAAACTTTGTGAGCTGTCTACCCAGACAGCCATTATATGGGTCAATGATGAATAAAAGTGTCATTGATAAAGTAAAGAAATACCTTTTAAAAATCTCATTAAAAATCTCCTTTTAAACACATGTGCTGAGTTCTTAGAAATGCACGTTTTCTATTCATGTTGATTTCATATGGTTTTGAAAAAAACTTTACATTCAAAAAGTTAAAATTTATTGAAAATGTCAAACAAATCTTTGATTTTCCAGACCATTTTTTAAAAATAATAATAATAAGCAATGATAAGTTATTAATAAGCAGTGATATGTTACAACAAGGTTTTATTTTCAAAAATGTAATTGTTTTAATGAGGCTTTTTTTCCATTATGTAAGATAGTAGCATCTCCCAGACATTTATGCCCCACCCAAAAACACACACACGTGCGCACTTTCCATATACTTCTATTACTTTTATACTGACCAAACGGTATTTTCTATCCCCTAACCCTAAACCTAAACATACCCCTTACAGAAAACCTGTTTGTATTGTTATACTTTCAGATAAACATCATTTAGTATTTTTAATTTTTTTTTTTTGCCTCGTGGGGACCGCAGGTCGGTAGGGGTGAAAATATTCCCCTAAGAATTGGGACACCACTACTACACCGTCACACGTCATCATACGTCGTCTAGCTCCTACAATACACACACCTATACTGGTTTGAGAAAAGGGTTTAGCGATTTCTAGTTATTGGGGGGACTAGCCCCCCTCAATGTCTACGGTGGTTATCGCCCTGATCAGACATGAAAATATGTTTTGGTACTATCGTGCCGTAATGATATGACGTTAGCAATCTTTAGCGATTTTTTGCAAACATTTCTTTGAGTAACATGACCGTAAATATGAACTCCCGATTGAATGTAACATAAAACAAATGATTACTTTTCGTTAAAATCTTTATTAATGCCAAAAATACTTACATTTATGTGTCTTTTTGTTTGCTCGGGCAACCATGTTGCCGCTGAAGCCAGTTTACGCTGAGATAATTCATACCCCTTCGTTTGAAGTGTGGTCCCGAAAAATCTTTGTTTGAAGGGCTATCTGG